CGCCATCGCGCAGGAAGGAGTTGTCTGTTGAGGCACTGGGTCTTTTTACTGATGAGGATATCTCGACAGTGACGTTGCCTACTGTCAAGGAGCATGCTGCACAGGCGCTCAGGAACAGCAGCGAACCTTCCATCCTTCATCCACCACAGCAGACTCCTGATAAACGCCACATAAGGATTATGGAGTGAGGAAGCGAAGGCGAGTGGATGATGCTGGCTGATACTGGCCGAGGAGACGGATGGGCCGGAGGTAATGCGGCGATGGTGTCTTCTAATTTCGCTCAAAGAGCATCGATAACCTGTAGAGTATGAGTCGGATCGGAGCGCGTTGATCTCAATCTCATGGTCCGAGGGTGATCGGTGATGATGCCGAATGCAGTGGCAGGTGGTGTGGGCTAGGGAGTCCTTGGCGTGATTATCGATAGACTCCAATTAGCGTCATCGCGTCCAAAGCATCGTCGCCGACGCCAACCCTCTAACTCTACCATGAATATGAACGAAATTGTTGCGTTGCCTTCTTCCTTCGATCTGAACTTCGATCTGAGTTCGCGTCATCGTAATGTCTGCGCTGATGTCTATCGCGGCGCGTCTGCCACTCGTGCCTGCCTCTTGCGCGATGACATGCAATGCAGCACGCCGTACATATACGCGCATGCTGTTACAATGCGTTCCGAAAGCTGATACTTCTAATAATGTATTTGATCTATGCTAATGATCCAGGGCTCGGCTTGCCGATCGTCGTCCTCCAAGCCGGATCACGTATCATCTAACGATTGGCGTCGCAGTATACGTTTGAGCACCAAAGCAGATGAAGACGATGCCGCGTCAACGCCATTGTATACACGCGCTTACCCATTTATCCTTACCAAACCACAGCTACAGTAATGCCAGCATTCGCACCACACAAGTCGACTCACGACGTTTCCATCATGGCCTTCGCGACCAACGACCCATTAAAGCCCGACCAACGATACGACGCCTTACGCAACACCGACGATCACTCGGATTCGAGTACAGAGGTTGACGATTGGGATACAGAAGATGCAGTACGACCTAGACGAAGACGCAAGACGGCGTGGAAGAGGCTGAAGGGCTATCGCTGGATAATAGACACGGCACTTCTCCTCGTCATTGTTGGATTGCTGGTGGAAAAGAGATGGCAAAAACACACAAAAAGTCATCAATACGAGCTCGCGGGAGACATTACAGGATTTGCGCCAACGTTCTCGCAACAGATTGTGAGCTTCAAGCCCAGTTCTGTGTTCGCCCCAGAAGATGCGGCGGAGTTCTGGAGCAACGAGACACAGCATGCATGGTTAAGCATCGTACCAGGTATGTACATCGTTCTGGTTTCTTGAGGTTTAACAGTGCTGACGATCTCCATAGAGGGCTTGGGCTACGTCAACGTGAAGAACCCCTCCGAATATTCGAACCTCCCACACCCGATACACGACTATCCCAACCACACCGTCTTCACCACGTCCGTGACGCATCAGCTGCACTGCCTCTACACTATACTGGGCGCGTACAACTCCATGAAGCTCATGGTCGCGTCACCTGTGTCTGCAAATCCCGTCAAGATGCCATGGCATATCAACCACTGCTTCGAATACATTAGACAGGCGATAATGTGCGCTGGAGATGTGGCGCTAGAAGGGGCTGCGACAAGCTTCCCTGGTGACGAGCATGGAGAAGATCGAGGTGGGAGTGACGGTTGGGATGCGAAGCACGTGTGCAAAGACTACACACAGGTATATGAGTACCTAGAGAAGGAAACGATCAATCACATGAAGTGGATCTCATCGGATTAGTGATCCACGCTGCACCCTCGGAGGCAGCATGTGAAGTGGAGTCTGCCTCGTGCAGCGGGCCGTTTGGACAGACCCAAACGTGGGCTTTGCGCTTGCGCACGCGGGTGACGTGTATCGACTTCATCATCAGCAACCCCAAGACATTGGCATGTAGCAGTAATGTATACATCGTATTCCAAGTGCAAAGCGTCGAATTAAAGTTATGAGCTGACTGTGCACACTATCGTAGCCTGTGTTACACTGTGACAATTTCCCTATTGACCTATGATTTCCTTCTAGCTAGCTGACTCTGATGATTCCCGCAACAAGCAACATGCCCTTCTCGCCTGCGACACATGACTACACATCCCACCTCATTACAGTAACTTCCGAGTCCTCCGAGCATGCATACAACACCATCGGGCAGTAACCCGTTTAGGTCCAACATGCGAATCCGCAGATCTGCTGTATCAGATTTGGCGAATCACGACCCCCGCGAATCAGCCTCGGTAACGGGGCAGAGCAGGGATGGTGCAGCAGCGGCATCACCGAAAACCTACGCACGCTATGCTCTAGCCTCCGCGAGCGCATTCCATTCCGAATGGGCGTTTACCTCAGCAGTCGGGCGCCGCTTTGCACCGTGTCCGGAGCTGAATGCTCAAATTGTAAGTGTGCCGTGGGCGTGTTAGACGATGGCCTTGTGGAACCCCTAGAATTTCGGACGAGTGTTGGTGGTATAAGAGAGTGGCTGGCCCCGTGACTAGTGATATATTTTTTGCTGTGTTGACATTTTACGACAAACCTTGGGATTACTCAGCCAAGCCCGTGGCTATACTGAACGACCATCCGCCTCTTGGTGGTAATACCGGGATTCTTGGACAGCACTGCGGAGAGCGGAACAACGACGGAGACCGAACAGTTTATCGGACCTCGGCCGAGCAGTCGCACGACAAATCTTTCTGCGAGTAAGAAAAGAGACATTGATTGCATACGGACGTAAGACAAGGGGAAGAGGACTTGGGTGTCTGTTACCTAGGCTTGGCTCAACAACAGACGCTTCATACTGTGGATTCAAGGCGGACCTGACAGCGGCTGTGTCTATTACCCTGCAATCACTCTTTCCACATCAACAACTGGGTTCGTTGCGAGGCACCGGTTAAACACCTCGTGGAATAAACGCGACTGCCTCGACGAAGGCATACAAATAGCTCCCACGAAGACGCGGCTACCCACTATCGACATTCCTCGACGTCATCACTAAAACCTTTTCCGAAAACTACTACCTTTCTCCAACAACACAATTCCTACAGACACCATGGCGCAGTCGCCACTACTTTTCATCGTTGCGGGAGCCGCCATCTCCTACATCCTATACACCCGTATTACCCTCTACCTTGCGCGCCAGCGCTTCAAGAAAGAGAATGGCTGCCAACCCTGCACGGCGCAGTTCCACAAAGACCCTATTTTCGGAATTGATAATGTGAAGGTCATGGCATACAACAGCAAGCACCACATCCTGTTGGAAGAGAACAGAAAGCGCTTTGGACGGCTCGGTAACACTTTCCATAACAGGCTGGTTACCATGCCTTTCATTGCGACCTGCGAGCCGGAGAACGTCAAGACGATCTTGAGTTTGAAGTTCAAGGATTACGGTTTTGGTCATAGGCAGGGTGCTTTTACTCCTCTTTTGGGTCACGGTATCTTCAACGCGGATGGTGAGCGGTGGGCTAATAGCCGTCACTTGCTGCGACCCAACTTCGCTCGCGACCAAGTTGCAGATATCGAGGCGTTCGAGAGGCACTTCAAGCTTATGCTCAAGCACATCCCCAAGGATGGCGCTACTGTCGATCTGCAAGAGCTCTTTTTCCGTTTGACCATCGACACCGCAACAGAATTCCTCTTCAACCACTCCACCAACTCGCTCCGCATGGTCGGCCAGGAAGACGCAAACAACGAGGACGTTATTTTCAGCAAGGCATTCACCACCGCACAAGACGACATCACGACCCGCACCCGCTGGGGCATCTTCGACCGTTTCCGCAAGAACCCCGAGGGCAAGAAGGCTATCAGCATCTGCCACGCCTACGTTGACAAGTTCGTCGACGATGCTCTCCGTTTCAGGGAAGAATTGGATGCTGAGAAGAGCGCTGGAGGCAAGGACGACAAGTACTACTTTATTCAAGAAGTAGCGAAGCAGACTACCGACAAGAAGCGGATTCGTGAGGAACTTATCAACATCCTGCTTGCCGGACGTGACACGACTGCTAGTCTGCTCAGCAACATGTTCTTCCAGATTGCGAAGAGGCCTGATATTTATGCCAAGTTGAGGGAAGAGGTTGCGGCACTGGGAGGTCGCACACCGACGTATGAGGAGTTGAGGAACCTTAAATACGTCAAGTGGTGCCTCAACGAATGTAAGTTTGTCCATCGAGCTGATCCCATCGCTATACTAATTCTGTCCAGCACTCCGTCTCCACCCAGTCGTCCCCGGTAACTCTCGCCTTGCTATCCGCGACTCTGTCCTGCCCCTAGGAGGTGGTCCAGACGGCCAAGCACCTTTGTTCGTACCCAAGGGAACGACCGTCGGCTACTCACCATACACCATGCACCGCCGCCACGACCTCTACGGCCCAGACGCAGACGAGTACAAGCCTGAGAGGTGGGAGACACTCCGCCCAGGCTGGGAATACCTGCCCTTCAACGGCGGCCCACGCATCTGCCTCGGACAGCAGTACGCGCTTACTGAGGCGAGCTACGTGACTGTGCGTCTGGTGCAGGAGTTCAAGACCATGGAGAGCCGAGACCCGGGCCCATGGCGAGAGGGTCTCACACTGACTCTGGCCTCAATGAACGGTACACAGGTTGGCCTTACGCCTGCCTAGAAGGAGCGTAGTCAGCGATTGGTACACAGCTGTTTCGAGAGGTGTCAGACTGGGGAGGGCGGTGGAAAAATTCAGCACGATGAGTTGTGTTTGCTTGCGGAATCACTGGGAGTCTCACTCGTCATGCCACCTACTTGGCCAGGAGAGATGCCTAACAGGAGAAGGCGGCTATCTTTATTCTAGGGAGTTCTGTTCATATGGGGACCTTTCAGAGGCATTGCATTTTGATCTTCACTGTACTATACCTACTACTATGAAATTCTATGAACTCTGAGGAATCTGGCAGAGAGGATGGCTTGTTACTAGGCGTCCATCCGAAGCACTAAGACATGCTCGTGCATTCGGTTAATTCACAATGTTTCGAACGTCTCACTTTGGTGATTAGATACAAAATAACAGTACTCTCTTCGCCAGTGGCAATCAAACCTACAACATTGTTGCAACTGTAGTGACCCGAATCGAGACTAGTGCCGGAAGTCCGCAACTGAGACCCTAGACACACAAGTGTTGATCAACAACAGCGCAACACGCCACGACGCACGCACCGAATCGAACCTTCCACCTGTCCCGCAATTTCGTTGGCAAACATCATGTCGCGAAGTCACCGCCCCTCGACGACGCCCATGGACTTTGAGTGGACGAACCAAACAGGCCCCATCGACGCTCAATCGCCTTTCCTCGCTGCCAGCCAGCAAAAGAAGCGTGAGTCCCCAGGCCCCTCTTTCGCTTTCGGACGCAACACATTTGGGGAAACACAACCGCTGACTTCAGGGCCTTCTTTCGGCCAGCCAGGCCCTCACTCCGTCCTAGATTCCCCCTCTAAGAACGGTTTCGCGACACCGAATCGGCTGCGCGACCCCGACAACCGCATGACATACTTCAGCCGCGATCCTTCCAAGCCGCTACCGTCCACACCCGCATCTTCGGTGCCCGCACACATCCAACCGAGCCCCTGGTCTATGCGAACGCCCTCACACGACCTCGACTTCAGCTCCGGCGGGGAAACACCGGGTACACCACAGGTAGACAGCGACCCTGGCACACCAGACACGCAATTGGCGAGCAAGATGGGGCGGTTGGGCAACGGCGATGCAAAGGGCGGGCGGCGAGACAGCTGGTTCAAGCGGACCTTCATGTCCACGCCGAGCCCCACCAAAGAGCGGGACAGAGAGCGGGACAAGGACGTGTCGCAAAAGTACTACTCCAAGAAAGCCGAGAACCGCATAGTCAAGCGCCGGTCAGAGCGCTCACGGTCCAAGAAGCGCGCCACGGTACATGACGACGACGGCGAAGATTCCGACAACAACGACCAGAGACGACCCCAAGTCCCTCCCAAAGAGGCGGGGCCTGTCCAGCAGACTCTCGCTATGAGCGTAGGCGGCTTCCTCTCGTGGGTGGAAGCGCACCCCAACCTCCCCTCCGTCCTATCCTACTACCTCCAACTCACCGTCAACATGTTCCTCGGCAGCCTCTTCATCTACATCGTCTACTCCGCCTGGGCGGGCGTCATGACCGACGTCGACATCGAGTCCTCCAAACACGCGTCGGAGGTCATGGTTGAAATCGCCGGATGCGCCATTGAATACAACCGGAACCGGTGTCGGCCGGAGGAAGTCGTGCCGGCGATGGAGCGGGCATGTGGTGTCTGGGAGACGTGCATGAACCGTGATCCGAAGAAAGTTGCAAGAGCGACTGTCACGGCGAAGACGTTTGCTATGATATTTAACTCTTTTGTTGAGGAGTTTAGTTATAAGTCTATGGTATGTTGCTTTCTTCTCGGTATACCGGCGGTCGCTGTGTATGGAGCTGTCCACGAACGGCGCGAGCACATTGATTGTGCGCATACGCATTCGCACAACCAGTACACCCAGTTCTGCACTTGCTTTCAGCGCAGCCAAACCCAACCCCACAGCCTCCAACACACCCACCACCACCAACCCCCAAATACACATCCCAACGCAAACTAACACCCCCTTTCAGATCTTCACAGCCATAATCATCTTCGGCGGCTTCAACCTCTCAAACTGGGCTTTCGGCCTCCTCCGCTCCCAGCAACAACAACAAACGCACCACACACAACCCCACCAACAACCCAACGAATTCATCCCACAAACGCCCCACAGAGTCATCAGCAACGGATACAACGACAGTTATAACCAGCAAAGCTACCAGCAGAATTGGCAGCAATTACCGCCGTACCAACAGCAGCAACAGCAGCAGTTACAAGGAACGCCGTATCAGAGTCACAATACGCCGTATCAGGGTCAGAGACATATTGAGGCGCCGCCGCTGGTGCATGCGCATACTATGCCTGCGTTGGGGAGTTCGACTTCAAACATAAATTCGGCGCACGAAGGGGTGGTGACGGCGGATGGGGGGAGGACGCCGAGGAAACGGGGGTTGTTTCGATAAGCACTCTTTTCTATGATGATACTTTCATTGTGCATCTTTTTCTTTGGTTATTGATTTGGATATAAGCGCATTCTTTCGATTTGTATTCACGTTCTTAGGGTTGTCGTAGGGTAAGGCTTGGGGGCTCGCAAAAGGTAGCATAAGTTGGGCGAACTGGTGGAAAAAAGGTCATCTCACGAAAATTCACACTTTTTCTACTCCTGTCACATATAGTTTGTAAATGTCATTTTTTGAACGAATGAATTACTAAGTTTTATCATAAAGAAGAGCATCGAAGCCTCCAACCTGGATATCAAATGGCCAATCATCTACTTGTTGAACCGCCAAACGCCCCAATCAAGGAATCTCGTATCTATCTGTCTATGCATACATGCCGACTTGCTTTACGCAGCAGCCTCGGTCTTGGTCTCCTCCTTGCCGCTCTCCTCGTACTTCTCCCAGTTGGCCAAGATGTTGCCAATCTTGGGTGAGTTGGTGAGCTTGTACACGTCCTCGAAGTACTCCTTGGTCAACGCGAATGGCTTCGCAGTTACGTTGGGGATGTACTTTCCGACTAGCTTGCTGGGGTCGATGGATGTCTTGTGGATCTTCTTAAGAAGGAAAGACCTGAAGGGCTTGACACCGGATCGCAAGAAGGTCGAGTGGAAGGGCACGTCAATACCCTTGAGCGGGATGGTAGCGAAGCCACGCTGGAGGTCGAGCGGCTTGGGCTTGGCCTCTGTCTGCTCGGCGCAACCCTTGATGATTTCGACCAGGTGGTTCTTAACTTCCTCTAGCGACAGAGTCTGCATGAGCGCTTGAATGTCGATCTTTTGTTGCTTGAGATAGTTTGTCACGCCAGTAAGGCAGTCGAGAGCGCGGAGGTCACCGGCAGCAACGTACTGCATGTTGGCGATATTGTAGTTGACAATCTCCAAAAGCCATCCGGTTGTCTCGGCAATGTTCTCGACAACGTATTGGAGAGCTTGCTCGTTGAAGGTCTTGGAGATCCTGCTGGGGTTGACAGCGCACATGGAGTAGTTGGAGCGACCGGTCTCGTCACGCTCGACCGCGACTTGCATGGTAAGACCACGGTAGAACACGACTGAGACTAAACTCTCGATAGGCATGACCTCAGCCATGGCCGCAAGAGCGGAGTATTCACCGAGAGAGTGCCCAGCGAATGTGCTCTCGACCTGGATCAGACCCTTGGCGCGCATGTCCTCGAACGATGCCTTCTCCATGAGTGTCAGAGCAGGCTGTGTGAATTGAGTCGCTGACAACAGACCAGTCGGCGACCGGTAGGTGTACGATGTGGTGTTCTCGTCAATCTCCTTGAAGATCTTCTCAGACTTGATGGAGCCGTCCGCAGCAACAGTCTCGAATGTCATAGACATGTAGTTCTGGCGGATAGCCTTGCCGACTGGGCCACCAAAGTGAATAGTGAGCTCCTTGGGGTTGTTCTTCACGATGTTGGTGATGGCGAAGCCTGTTGTGAATTAGCCACAGTATGATGTAGATGATTGGTGCAGACTTACCGTAGTTGTCCATGAAGTGCTTGTCGGCGCGGTCCCAGACTTCCTTGGCAACGGGGCTGCTGTTGTAAAGCTCCATACCCATACCCTGTTCTTGCGATCCTTGTCCAGTGAAGACGTAGGAGGTAGTGGGTTGCTCAACCTCAGCCTCACCGAGGAGGACCTTGTCTTCGGTCTCCTGGTTGCTGACTTCAATCTTGATGATCTTCCGACCGGACACCATACCGACGTGCTGAAGCTTGACATCGAGCATGTCGTCGGGGAGCACCATGCCCACGAGGTTGACGTGGTAGCTCCTAACACGACCGACATTGTTCTCGGCGGCCCAGGTCTCTACCAAGCTTCGGACAGCTGCGCTGGAATACATGCCGTGGGTGATCGTGCCAGGTAGGTTGGCGTAGCTAGCAAAGACACGTGAGACGTGAATGGGGTTGTAGTCGCCAGAGACGCGAGCGTAGTTCTCGTTGGAAGCAGGTGCCTTGAGCTGAAGCGGCGCCTTGCCGTGAAGTGGGATAGCGTTGTCGAACAGCACTGGCTGATCAACCGCAGCTCCATTGCGCTCCAAATAGTCTAGGACGGGGTTGCCGTATGCGGTGCCCGAGCTGTATTGCACGGAAGCGATTTGGATCACCTCCTTAGTTGGGAGTTCGAGCAAGACCTCTCCTTGAGTCTCGATGTCAGAGAAGACTGTCTTGTTCTTGTATCGCACGACAGTCTCGAGCTTGAAGAGCAAGGTCTTGTTCAGCAGGTCGATTTCAGGCTCCTCGAAGTTGAACCACTCCTTTGATCGCAGGATGGCCACGTCCTTGCTGGTAGCCAAGTTGAGCTGAATGGGCTTCTCGACCTTCCTCTGGAACGTGTTCTGGAAATCATCATATGCGCCGCGGTAGAGGAATTGACTAGTGACTTCCATCACTGGCTTACCATCGCGGGTGATAGTGCCACAGACCTCTACCATCTTACCAGAGTCCTGGTTGATGACAGCATTGATCTGTGCAGTGGTGTCAAGAACATCGCCCTTCTTCAAGGGCTCAGCGCCAGAGATCATGCGGAACCCGTTGGAAAGATGGACCAACTTGAGAAGGTCACCATCGATTGCGCGAGGGAAGATAGGCTTGGTGATGGCCTTCCAGCCGACAACGATGGCGAAGTCCATGGGGGCGTAGACTTCCTTGCCAGGTCGGTCAACAAAGGCCTCACCCTTGTTTCCGACTGCGTGGACGAAGTCGTTGATGGCCTCACTTGTTACAGTGGCGCGGCCACCATCGAAGCGTGAAGTGACGGACGCATCAAATGGGCATGCCTCATCTCCAAACCAGATCTTGTAGTAGAAGTCCTTGATGCGGTCGTTTCGGGCATCCATGACCTCATGGATAGGCGCGTAGCCTACGTCAGGACGGTAGGTGAAGCGGAAAGGCAATGCGACTGCGTGTCCAATGGCGGTACGCTCCTCGTAGATGTTGAGCAGGATCTCACTGTCTTTGGTGAGACTGACTTCGACGGTCTTGATCAGCTTGCCGCCGTGGTGCAGCTCCTTGACGATGATGGCAGTCTTGGCAGGCTCGTTGGGGTTCTGAATTTCGACAACCATGCCGGGTGTGGGAGCAAAGACCCTGGAAGTAGGGTTGGTCTGGAAACGCTGACCCTGCACAAAGATGTCCGCAGTGAAGAAAGCATGTCTCCATGAATAGCTGGAGCCTGCCAGGAGTTGCAGCCATGAGTGTACTTCTGGCATTGTGGCGTTGGGAGCAGCGGAGAGGCGGTAGATGACCTTGTTCTCAAGCTCTGAGACGGTAAGACCATCGACCTCTAGACCCTGGGGTGGCGCTAGCAGGTTGCTACCGAAGTACTCAATGACGGGAACCTTGGACTCGTCATCGCCGTAGATGTCGTGCATAAGGAGCTTGATGTGACCCTCGTGGACACCATCCAGGATCTCCTTGATGGGCTCGTCAACCTTGGTGGAGTACTTGACAGCCATGGGCCCTTGAAGGATACATGTCCTGCCAACGTCTTGGTCAACGACAGCATCGAGATCCTCGGATTGCCAGAGTGAATCCTTCTTGAAGAAAAACTCAAAGGTCTCGTCAAGGACGGGAACGAACGGTACAGGCTTCTGTCCACGACGTTGGCAGAGCAACAGGAAGTGTTGCACATCTTGGGCGCTGATGAGCTGGTTGTCGGCATCGGGGTAAGCCTTGAAGACCTTCTCGAGCATTGGGAAGGGGTCGTTGAGCTCATCGTAGTTTTGGATGAGTGACTCGCTGCTAGCTTTGCTGAAACGCTCTTCCAGTCGGCGGATGAAGTCGCCAGTCAAGCGCTTCAAACTCTGGTCGATCCAGCGGGATTGGTGCTTGACGTACATGAGGTCTACCATACGTTGGACAACCTCAGTGTAGGTCATGTCTTCCAAGTCAACTGACTCTCCCTTCTTGTTCTTGCCGAACCAGACCTTCTGGAAGTCCTTGTTCAGCTTCTCGATGATGTACTCGCGCATCTTCTTCAGTTCGGGGACACGCTTGGCCTTGTCGAGACTGAAGATCTTCTGGTCCATCTCATGCCAGAAGATGACACCACGAGTGGCAAGCTTGTGGATTGGCTCACCCATCTCAGAGCGAACAGTGATGACGCCTCCAGCTGGGCCCTTGTAGGTCTTCTCCCAGTCCTCGTCGTCAAGACCAGGGGCGTCAACGATAGCTTGTTTGGCCATCTTTGATGTGTAGCATTCCTTCGCCGTCATTACGCGGCTGCCGAACAAGCAACCGTCATATGGCATGGGTGGGTATCCAAATTTGGTAGACCATTGACCGGTGAGGTATGGGTATGTGTCTTCGGCGCCACCGAAACCGGAACCTGCGACGAGAATCAGGTTCTCACACTTGCGCAGACGGCTGTACATCTGCAGAATGGGCTGATGGAAGTCCTCGAAGGAATGATGACCTCCACCACGACCACCAGTCCATTGCATCAAGACCGGGAAGGTAGGGTTCGCCTTCGCAATGTTAATGGTCTGTTGAATAGCCTCGACAGAACCAGGCTTG